CCTACCAGAAACGCCATCGAAGTCCAGGTCAGCGACGCGCGCGACGTCGCGCCCATGCTCGATCGACTTGCAATCTAGACTATCGGCAAGGAGCTGCTCGAAAACGACGTCGCCGGTGACAGTGACGCAATCTTCGCGCGCGCCCGCTATGCCGGCGTTGTCGACGTAGACCGCCGGGCCGACGCGGGAGCCGCTGAGGTCGGGGGCCGGGCGCTCGCCCGCGAAAAGCTGCTCGGTCGGGGTGCCAACCTTCTTAACAGAGGCTGTCACCATCTGCTGACAAGAATGCAGCGCCCAGGACCAGCCCGCGACCGTGACCTCGAAGCGCGGGCCGAGCCATTCGCCCGAGCCCAGGTCCAAGGGGGCGAGTTCGCGCAACAGCCGACCTGAGACACGAGGTCGGTAGATATCATCTGGGACCCCAGGCGGCGCACGCACACGGCAAAAGCCGCATTCAACATCAGGTTACGAGAAGACGACGTCGTCTTCTGACTGCAACTCGACATTAGCCCACGCTCCAGGCGCGGGCAAGGCCGCATGCTCGGCTTCCCTAAACCGGGCGTTCACCAGCCTCGCGTCGAGAATCGCCCCTTGCATCCCGTTCTTCCTGCACGCGAAAAAGATGCCGACTGCGGGGGCCTTGCGACTGCGCAACGACACGAGACCGAGGGGGTGCATCTGCGAGATAAGCTTGGCATGCATTATCTGGTCCCTGATCAAGCAAGGGTCATAATAAGGTGTAACAAGATGTCCTGCCATTCCACTCCGCGCGACTGTCTTGACGCAGATGTCCCACTTGCAAAAGGCGCCGCCGCGGAGCACCTGCGAGCCATCAGCCACGCGGCGAGACCAAGTCACGCTGGAAAGCAGCGCAGGGGGTCAGCGACATCATATCCCGCTCGATTGCCGCAATGCCCCTCGATGGCTTCCGCGGCCGCGCACGGCGGAGGAGGCGCCGCTGGGGAGACGTGGGCCAGACGGCGGCGCGCCTCAGCCTGAGCCCGCGAGCACCCAAGCGCAACTCCCTGCTAAACTCGAACGCTGCGCGAATCACCGATGCTCTCCATTGCTGAATTGACGGCTGCGCGCCAACGACTCTTAGCCCGCAGTCGCTGTCGAACTGATCTCGACGGCCCAGAGAAGCCCGAGTTGTTTTGCAGCTCGTCGCAGGATGGTCGGGCGGGCCGGCCGACCCCAGCTGAGGTCGCGCCCCTGGGGCGGCGCCCGTGGCCGCTGCTGCCCGCCTGTTGGCCCCCGCCTTCGCGCCTCCGCGCCCTTCGCCGAGCCCTCGGCCTCGGCCTCGGCCGCGGCCTGCCTGGGCAGGCGGACCGCGCCCGCGAGGCCGCGCGGAGGATCCGCCCCGGCCGCCGCGGCTCCGAGGGCGGCTTGGCGCGGCGCCGCGGGGGGCTGCGCGCGCGACAGCTGTCGCTCCTCGCGGAGCTCGCGGCGCCCCCTGGCCACGGCGCTCTCGCGGTGGAGCCCCGCGGCCCCGTGCTCCTCCGCAGGGCCGCGCGCGGCGCGGCAGTGACGCAATCTTCGCGCGCGCCCGCTATGCCGGCGTTGTCGACGTAGACCGCCGGGCCGACGCGGGAGCCGCTGAGGTCGGGGCGCTCGCCCGCGAAAAGCTGCTCGGTCGGGGTGCCAACCTTCTTAACAGAGGCGGTCACCATCTGCTGACAGAAATGCAGCGCCCAGGACCAGCCCGCGGCCGCGACCTCGAAGCGCGGGCCGAGCCACTCGCCCGAGCCCAGGTCCAAGGGGGCGTGTTCGCGCAACAGCCGACCTGAGACACGAGGTAGGTAGACATGATATGAGACCCCAGGCGGCGCACGCACACGGTAAAAATCGCATTCGACATCCAGGTTACGAGAAGACGATGTCGTCTTCTGGCTGCAACTCGACATTCGCCCACGCCCCAGGCGCGGGCAAGGCCGCATGCTCGGCTTCCCTAAACCGGGCGTTCACCAGCCTCGCGTCGAGAATCGCCCCTTGCATCCCGTTCTTCTTGCACGTGAAAAAGATGTCGACTGCGGAGGCCTTGTGGCTGCGCAACGACACGAGACCGAGGGAGTGCACCTGCGAGATAAGCTTGGCATGCATTATCTTGTCCCTGATCAAGCAGGGGTCATAATAAGGTATAACAAGATGTCCTGCCATTCCACTCCGCGCGACTGTCTTGACGCAGATGTCCCTAAAAGGCGCCGCCGCGGGGCACCTGCGAGCCGTCAGCCACGCGGCGAGACCAAGTCGCGCTGGAAAGCAGCGCAGGGGGTCAGCGACATCATATCCCGCTCGATTGCCGCAATGCCCCTCGATGGCTTCCGCGGCCGCGCACGGCGGAGGAGGCGCCGCTGGGGAGACGTCGGCCAGACGGCGGCGCGCCTCAGCCTGAGCCCGCGAGCACCCAAGCGCAACTCCCTGCTGGGGTCGAACACCGATGCTCTCCACTGTTGAATTGACGGCTGCGTGCCAACGACTCGAAGCCCGCAGTCGCCGTCGAACTGATCTCGATGGCCCAGAGAAGCCCGAGTTGTTTTGCAGCTCGTCGCAGGATGGTCGGGCGGGCCAGCCGACCCCAGCTGAGGTCGCGCCTCTGGGGCGGCGCCCGGGGCCGCTGCTGCCCGCCTGTCGGCCCCCGCCTTCGCGCCTCCGCGCCCTTCGCCGCGCCCTCGGCTTCGGCCTCGGCCGCGGCCTGCCCGCGCAGGCGGACCGCGCCCGCGAGGCCGCCCAGAGGATCCGCCCCGGCCGCCGCGGCTGCGAGGGCGGCTTGGCGCGGCGCCGCGGGGGGCTGCGCGCGCGACAGCTGTCGCTCCTCGCGGAGCTCGCGGCGCCCCCTGGCCACGGCGCTCTCGCGATGGAGCCCCGCGGCCACGCGCTCCTCCGCAGGGCCGCGCGCGGCGCGATCTGGCCCCGCGCCTCGCCGAGGCCACGGCGCAAGAAACTGTCGCCGGCGAGGTCGTCGCCGAAGTCTTCGGGGGGAAGCAGTAGATGTCGGCGGCGAAACTCGGCGAGCTGCGCCCGCCGCCTGAGCAACTAATCAGCCGCCAGCTCCGGAGCGCCCAGCTGGTCGAGCGTCAGCATGTAATCGAGGCCCTTCGTGGCCGCTCCGTGGCTTGACGCGCCAGGGTCGCCACTGGCGGGCCGGCAGGTGCGCCCCCGCCAAGTGAACCGCCCCCGCGGGCGCCCGTGCGCCTGGGCGATTGACGCGAGGCGCCGCGCGATCGCGCGCGGCCCCGCGAGCGGCCAGATGTCCCAGACCGTCTCGGCGCAAGAGCCCGCGGCCTGCTTCGCGCCCCAGTGCCTCGCCCCCAGCTCGTCAGGTCCGCGCGCCCAGCTCGGCAGGGTCGCCGTCGCCGCCGCCGCCGTAGTCCACCAGCGCTGTGACGGGCCCGCCTCGACTGATCAGCGCCGCGCCAAGTGCGCGCGCAGTTGCTCGCCCGCGCTCTTCTCGCCGTCGAGGTCGGCGCCGCGGAGGCCGGCGCCCGTCGCCGCCCGGCCGGGGCCCTTTGGCCCAGGCAGCAGTCCCTTGCGGGGGCCGAGGGCCGCGTGCATCACCGGGTCCAGCACCTCCTGCCCATTTGCGCCGCGGGCGGGCCGAGCCTCGACGCCTGGCCCGACGAAGCCCAGGGGGGGCGGGCCCGCCGCGGCCCCGGCCCCCGTCGGCTGCAGGCCCAATCAGTCAATCAGAAGCCCTGCACCAGACGGCGCGCTAGCATCGGACATCGGACATCGGACCTGCAGCCGTCGCCGGCTAGGGCGTCGCAGGCGGGCGCCGCAGCGCCAGGCATGCGATGCGCGCGAGAAAGCTAGTGGGAAATCAGCAGAGAGGTAAGACAGCGCACGCGCGCAAGCAACATAATGAACATAAGCGTGTAGCAGCTGCACAATTACATAGAATATTCGCGCGCAGACCTGCCCGCGTAGCGCGGCTCGAAAAAATCCCACGTGTTAGCGTTGGCAATAGATATCCAATGCTGCCCGGCACGTTGTCGGATGTCGCCGCGCCGCCTCCTCTTCGGGCGGCCGGGTCTCCGTCGCGCACCGCGCATGGGATCTCGTCGCGGGTCCCGTCGCAGAGCCCGCGGTGTCCATTCGTACGTTTCTGAACTGCGCGCCGTCTCGGCCTATCTCCATCTTCGTCGGCGTTGAATGGATATTCAGTCGTCGATTTGCAGTCGCTCCAAAGCTTCTTCACTTTTCTTGGAAAACCGCCGAATGTAATCCACCCGCGGCACGAGGCCGTCGCTGTCTCGAGGTCGCGTGTCTGGATCCGTTGTTGATCATGGCGCCTGGGTGCGTAGCTTAATGCGCAATATCTGGCGTTGCGTAGATGGTCCCATGAAACAAACAGATTATGTTGCTTATTGAATAGTGCTTGCTAGTTACCTCCTGTCGTAATGCAAAGAATCGCCTCCATGCTGTCGAGATACGGTTTTGTAGTTCAGTTTTGTGAAACTCGCTGAATCCAACCTGCCTCCCAAATTGCCCTGCACGGCGGCAGCGCCTCGATTGACATTCTGTTGGCCACCACGTTGTTGAGCATCCTCTGTTTGCGCGTTTTCTGGCACCCGTTGCGAACAATCTTTGTCCGGGTGTAGTTCGAACCCTGAATTGGCAGTTTCTTCGCTGAGGTCTTTCGATATGTCCGTGATATGTCGCACCGATCCTGCAATCAGAAAGCGTCGTCTGCAAATCGAAGATTAGTGAGTCGCTCACGTCCATGCTGCAATTTCAAACGAAACTGTTGTGTAGACCACTTGTGCTTGATATTGCGCATGACATGTTCTGACACGCAATTGAACACTGGTGAGCTCAAGGGGTCACTTTGTTTCGTGCCTCTTTGTATGTCAAAGTTCCTGCTCATTTCGTCCGTTCGGAAGGTGGCTGTCTGTTCGTCGTAGAACTTGGCCAGTAATTGTACGTAGGATGCAGGCACCTCCTGGCTAGCAAGGGCCCTCCATATACTCGGATGGGTGACTGTATCGAAGGCTTTTTTTGACGTCAGCGGCAGCTGCACATAACGGTACTTGCCACTCGTCGGTCGTCTCGTGGAGGTGTAAGATCGTGAACAAATGGTTGCACGTGTTGCCGTGATACCCGACACCAGCCTGGTCGCTGCTCTGCTGGGGGTTAAGGATGGGGTGTAGACGATTATACGGCAATTTGAAAATCATTGGTAAAAACAAATGGGACAAATGAAGCGGAGTTCCACCGCGTCAGTTCTCCGCCTGACAGGCACTCATCGCCTGTGCGAAGGCCGCGGGCGTCGACAGAGGCGAAAACGCGTACACCCGATTCAAACGTGTGATACGGCCGAGACCCGATTCCACGACCGTCGTGCCGTAGGGCCTGGTGCCCATCAACGCGAGAACAGGCGGCCCGGCCATTTCCTCTGGGTATAAATCGAAGTCCGAAGTCATGATCCAGTAGATCGAGGCCGTGTCCGTGTACGGTCCTAGCCCATCATGCGTGAGTAGACGTCCCGGGCACTCGCCAAGGACGATCCTCATCCACATATGAGGATCCCCCGCGTACTCGACCTGAACCTCGCGCCCGATGCTCACGAACTGTGCGGCGAACCTGGTGGCCATGCTCCCGATCTCGTCCGACGAACTGCTGCACCAGCCGCAGGAAGAGGGCCCCTAGCGCAAAGCCAAGAAAGAAACAGTACCCGCAGATCCACTGTCATCCGCCGAGCACCTCTGACTGGACCGAGCACGTGAAGGCTCGCTCTGCGAAAGGCGCGAGGGCCGGGCCGATGGCGCCGGCAGCGTTGGACAGGACAGACAGGACACACATGGATTTGGGGCGCCGCCAAACATGCACTTGAGTCGCGGTAGAGGCGGCAGAGAGGGCAAGGAAAAGGGTTCAGAGAACAAGGGAATCTCAGGAGACCACCAGGTTGGTGGGTAGAAGAACGCATGCTTTCAGGAGCGCTGCCCACTCGCCTTCCGAGACTAAAAGGAAACCGCCCTGTCGAGCCCGGTCATGGAATGGCGCATCTCGCAAAATTGCATGGCAGTCTGCAGCTGAAAGTGATGCGCAGCAGATATCAACGCAGGCAGAAGCATGCCTGCCAATTGCGACAAGATCATCGGTCGGTTCGACTAGTGGCAGAGCATCAAGACACGTGGGAGGATGCCCCCCGTCCTCTGATCCGCTGGGGAACTCTTCCTGCTTTCCCTTGGAAGGAGAACAGGGAAGAGGGGGAAGAAGGGGAAGGCGGAGAGGCCGGTGAGAGAGGGGATAGGAGAGCGTGCGGGGGGGAACCTCCGCCGTGCCTCGACCGTGGGGGGACGTAAATAAGCATAAAAGGCACCGATACCGCTACTCCCCAGACCTCTTCCTGGGGTGCACTCTGACCAGAATTTCGAAAGGGAATCCAGCAGTGGTGACGAGGACCTCTCCAGGACGAGCAGTGGTATCGGCATCGTCTCCTTCTCTGAGACCCAGCGGCCACTCCTCCTCAGGCGTAGCTTCATAGGGGGGGGGGCAATGACTGGCGGGGAAGCGTGTCCATCTCATGCCCCTTTTGGGCCCCAGGGGGCTCCTGTAGGGCCTCTTTCTGGGCACAAGAGGTAGACCTTTCTTCACCCCCCCTTCATTTGGCGGGTTCCAGAACCCCTGAACCCAAAAATGTTGCCATCCCTGGGGGCGCATCTTTTACTTCCGCCAGCATCCGCCTGCCTTCCGCCGACGGAGCCGCCATCGTTGTACTTCCGCTGCCTTCCGCCGAGGAAGAGGTGGCAACTCCTTCGATCCTCGAAGGCGAGGCCCTTTCTGGAACGCTCCATTTGTCACCCCCCATTGCACAGCGCCCGCGCGTGGGCCCGCGCAAGGGTGGGCAAAAGGCAAGCCAGGATGGCGGGCAACACGATACCAACAACCTCCCTCAATCACGCACAAGATCAAGATGGAGAGGCGCGCCACCCTTCAGGCAAGTGGGAGAACGAGAGGGGACCAGGACGGTGATGGGAGTCGAGTCGACCAGCCGCCCGACCAAAAAACAGGACACGGAAAAAGATGGTGGGCAGCATGCAGTGGGCGACAGCGATAAGCAGCATGGACAACGCCCAACTTCCTCCTCCTCCTCCTCCTCCTCGGGCCCCTCCCGAAGTCACCTCCTCCGCCAGCCGGCCCCCCCCGCCCTGCCTCGGGGACCTCCTGGCGCCTGTCGGACACAAAGTGCGGGCGGTGAGCGTTCACCCGTGCGCACTGCACCGCTGTCTTGCTGTAGTACTCCAGGTTCCTCCGCAGTCTGGAGGAAGGGGAAACGAGGAGGGCCGAGGGGGGTCGAGGAGGGAGCAGGGTCCAGGAGGGCCCAGGAGGGAGGAGGGTCGAGGAAGGAGGGTCGAGGACGGTCGAGGACGGTCGAGGACGGTCGAGGAGGGTCGAGGAGGGTCGAGGGGGGGGAAGGGGAAAAAGGAAGGATGTGGACGGAATCATCGCCTGCTGCGGACCCGTCACCCTTTCTGGGAGCCTCCTCTGTCATCGGGGCTCCCAGCTTCCTGGACTAACCTGGGACCAATGGTCTGTGACGCCGTCGAGGTCAACACGGGCAGATGACGCACCGGGACGAAACTCGAATTCCACACGGCATCGCATGGAGGACGAACGCAATACACCTACCCTACCCTATTCTCCAGCCCGCTCAAGCACTCTTTCGGCTCCTCGTCACAGCTGCATCGACGGCGCACCGCGAGGCTGCATGATCCAGAACAGACATCCGCAAACAACCGTTCAGGGCATATAGGAAGCCTTGGTGGGTCGCTGGGAACTGGAAGAGGGGCGGGAGGTCTCTTGGGGCAGAGAAAGATCTAGGAGGGGAGAGGGGACATCGCAGTCGACTGGTAGATAGATTGTCGGGAAGAACATCTGAAACGGGTGGATGAAATCCCCAAACAGATGCAGAGGAAAAATATTGGCCCCTTCTAAGAAAACTGCAGCTGGCACCGTGCACGTTTGGAGCACCCGCAACCTCCTCATCCTCTTCCCCCCACAAACTGCGTGTCGCAACATGATCCAGATCGCGCGCGTATCACATGAAAGGCATTCCTGGAGGGAGGTCGGACAGTGACACAGTCTCGTACTCCAGGCATTCGAGCAGTGCAAACATCTGACATCCTTCACTCCCTCATCGCCAGCAGGCTTGGACGCACACCAGGGAAAGAGATACATGATGGGGGAACAAAGCGGTACCAAAAACGCTACTCCCAGGGCCTCTCCTGGGGTGCGTTCTGGCCAAGATTTCGCAGCGAATCCAGCCGTGGCGTATCGGTATATTTCTCTCTTCCGACATCAAGCAGACTGCGTCTGGAGCTCCGCAAGTTTCAATGGCGAAGGCTACACACAGCTGAAAACAATATTCACGTCCACTGGCAGTCGGGGCGACCAGGCTGCGCGACAGAGGTGTTGTCATCCAGCAGCGGTCGTGAAATGGAGGAGGAAGAAAGACAGGAGAGGAAGGGAGTAGCGGGCAGGATAATGGGAAACTGCTGGAGCTAGGAAGTGAGGCAGGAGAAGGGGGAGGAGAGGGGGAGGCAAGGGGGAGGCTCCCCTAGACCAGGCGGTGGGGGGCAAGAGGCCTGCGAACTACTCACAAAATAACATACTGTCATTGGTCTCACGGTGGCGGCCTCGAGCTGACGCGTATCCTGGTCGAATCGGGATTGAAGGCAGACGCAGGCCCTCAGCTCGCAGTCGCCGCAATGCGAAGAAAACAAGATGGCAAACGCTTGAAAGAACCATCCAAAAAGAACACTCATAATCTTAACACTGTTCGCTCTTATCTGCTCGCGTGTCAAATCCACACGTAGATCCAGAGCCCTCGATGCCCGCCCTCGTCGTCTTCGACCGTACCCCCCCAGAGGGTGTATCTTCCTTAACTGCCAAATGTACTTGGCGCAGCCACCGAAACAGAAAGAGGGAGACCGGAAAACCATATAGCGAGGAGGAAAGGAGTGCGAGGAGGGAGGGCGGAGGGAAGGGGCAAGGGCCAGGAAGAAGGATGGAGCACGAAGGAGATTAGCAGGAATGGGGTTAGGACAAGACAACGAGCGCCACAACCAAACGGGCGGGTCGGGCGGGCGGACCCTAACGGGCGGGTCGGGCGGGCGGGCCCAGACGGCTGGGTCTAGCTGGCGGGTGGCTGAAGCGTCAGTACTGCATGAATCGCGAGGACGCTTCTCGCGATAGCGCGATTCCCAAGTGCATCGCGAGGGAATCCAGAGCGAGAGCGATAGCGCGATTTTCAAGTAATTTGTGAGGAAGTATCAGGCGGGAGCCGCTGACATTGCGAACCAGGAGCAAACAACACAGTTTGGAGACCCAAGAGCTTCTCTTGTAGATTATCCTGGCGAAGGACCGAAACATACGAAACATGATTACGCAATTGTGAGCACTGCGGTTGCATTGTCTTCGGTGGAGCTCTCTCCCTATGCCACGGAACGTGTAAGTGGTGTGCCGGAATGGGCGCGGCGGTGCCATGCGGGCGCTGCCACTGGGGCCTTCGGTGGGGCGCCACTTTGGTGGTCCCCAAACGTGGTGGTGAGAACACCCGGTGGTTGGGCGATTTGGGTAATGGTTTTCGAGCGCTGGCTGGCCCAGGAAACGCAAAACCTCGTGGCGACCGCGTGTCCCCAAACTCGGTGGTGACCCAGAATTATTTGTTGGGGGAATCGGGGTCACCACCGGGTGTCTCACCACCTGGTTTGGAGACCACCAACACATGGAACCACCAAACGTGTGAGGGGTGCCGGAACAGGTGCGGCGGTGCCACGCGGTCGCTGCCACTGGGGCCGTCGGTGGACCTCCCAGTGGGGCCAGGAAACGTGTGAGGAGTGTGCCGAAACGGGTGCGACAGTGCCATCCGGGCGCTGCCACTGGGGACTGGCCTTCGGTAGAGCTCCATCTCTCTGAGAGAGAGCGCGCCCACAGCGCCGACGCAAAGGGGGGGGGTCCCCTCTTAGCTCCCCCCCCCAACCTTCCACCTCTCCTGTTGGAAGCTCCCCCCCCTCCTCCCCTTTTTCGGCTCCCCCCTGAAGCTACCCCCCCCCCCCTCCCCCCCCCTTTCGCCACTCCGAAGCTCCCCCCCCTCCCCCTTTCCAAACCGAGGGGGGAGCTTAGCTACCCCCCCTTGGCCCCCCCCGCTCTGCAGGAAGCTACCCCCACCCCCTTTTGGTTCCAAAGGGGGGGGGGAGCTTAGCAGCCCCCCCCCCCTTTCGGCACCTGGGAAGCTACCCCCCCCCCTTCCCCCCTTACGCAAAGGGAGGGGAGGGTTTAGCTACCCTCCCTTTCCCCTTGACCCCACTCTGCCGGAAGCTACACCCCTCCCCCCCTTTGGTTCCAAAGGGGGGGAGCTTAGCAGCCCCTCCTCCCCTTTTGGCACCCGGGAAGCTACCCCCCCCGTTCCCCCTTACGCAAAGGGTGGGAGGTGCTTAGCTACCCCCCCCCCCTTCCCTTGACCCCCTCTCCGGAAGCTCCCCCCCCCTACCCCCCTTTACTTCCAAGGAGGGGGACTTAACAGCCCTCCCTCCCTCCCCCCTTTCGAAGCCCGGGCTGCTCCCCCCCCCCCCCCCCTCCTCACGAAAAGTAAGGAGGGGGGCTTAGCTACCCCCCCCTTCCCCTTGACCCTCCTCTGCCGGAAGCTCCCCCCCTCCCCCCCTTACTTCCAAAGGGAATGGTGGACTTAGCAGCCCCCCCCCCTCCCCTTTCGGCACCCGGGAAGCCACCCCCCTCCTCCCCCACCTTACGAAATGGGAAGGCGGAGCATAGCAACATCCCTTCCTCCCTTGACCTTTCTCTGGCGGAAGCCCCCCCCCC